TATATATATATATACACTAACGTAGATATGAATTTTTTTAAAAAAAGAGTAATTTAGATGCATTCATTTTAGAATGCATGAGCAGTTCAATTGAAACCATATAAAATGCATTGAACCTTTTTTTTTTGCTTGTTCGGATATATTTCAAAAGACTCTGGTGACGGGCAAGGTGGTGTGATAAGGGTACGAGTGAGGCAACCCAATGAGAGGGGCAAGGTGGCACAAGTGAGCACTGGTAATGCGGTCAAGCATCTGGAAAGAGTTCAATTTGGGCAATTTCAAAATGTAAGAAAAAATAGGATTTTTGAAGTATTTCAAATACTCAAATTTGACTTTATATTTCTTTTGCTTCAAACCAAACCCTTAAAAAAAAAAATTGAATTGCAATCCACTCCTAATGCATCCGACCTACAAGAGATTTGATTTGCAGGCTAAACCCCATGGTGAGAATTAAACAAAAAAAAGGTAGAAGGAAAGATGTAGAAAACTGATTATATTTAATAAAAACATGAAACAATACACTTACCTCGGCAGAAAGAATGAAGTTTACACCCATATTCAGCCGTTCTTCCAAAAATGAGGACACAACGCCATTTGAATCAATTTTACCTCTTAGACGACACTGCAATATGATTTTCAAAGGAGGATTTTAATGTAAATGCTTCACAATATTTGTACTTTCAAATTTAAATAAAACAGATGACAGTGTTTTAAGAAAATTTTCTTTCCATTCATAAACTGATTTCACATCTAAATGCTTTAAAGAACAAATGTCAATCATAGAAGAGGTACCTGTCTGAGAATGTAATCATAGCCAAAACTAGCCGTTACATCTCTGTTCATCTGATTATACATGAGATCTGATGCAAGGGAAACCTGCAATAAATGTCAAACAGCTATAAAGAAATGAAGTACGGGAACTGGACCACAGATTACTGCTTTTGCTACTAAAAATTTTCGAGCATTTACATACATACCACCCAATTTTTATGTATTTACATATCTAACACCTATACTTTATTTTTTACATTTATACCACTCCAATCACACCAAAAATACCACTATTTTAACTTTTAAAAGTGAAATGCACCTATTTAAGCATAGATAAGGAGGCAAATATATATGTAATAATTGAAGTTTAAACGTTAGATATGTAAATGCATGGGAATTAAGTGGTATATATGTAAATCTTCCAAAAAATTTTCACCTTCTCAGATACTTTCTGGACATAACTTAGCGCCACAACTCCAGTGCTTGCGACTTGCCCAGTTGCAACCTGCATTGATCAATCAATAAGCTAAGCCTCTCATTACTACAACACATTTATTGATGGTTCCAACCATCTATACTTGCTTCACTTAGTTAAGTATTATAAATAAAGATGTGTTTGCCATGACAACTTCCTCTTTAGAATATTATTTAAACTTTGCTAAACCATATAAGAAGCAAATAAACTTGAGGGTAGTTTGGCTAACCAACATCTTCCGGGTAACATTATATTATTAGTAAATGTTAGTAAATTTAATTTGTCGATGCATTAACAAATCCATAAATGGAGATTCAGTCCTATTTTTCACTCAAATCAAGCTATCCAATAGCCAAAGAGTCTGCTCAAAAACCAAATTATGAAAAATGCAGAAAGAAAAAGCATACCATTTTATCTGTGTTGTATCGAGCAGCAAAACCAATGCCAGACTTCCTCTGGTGACCAAGCCAAAAAACTTCACCGCCTAATGACAAATTTGGCGTAACACTCTATAGAAGGTTTCAGCAACTTGGTCAGTGATGCAAAATTGAAATAATATCAATGAAAGAAGTCGAAAAAAAAACAAAATTAGACACAGTAACGGCCTCAAAAATATTTTTCAGGACTTGTATATAAAATTGAAAGAGAATCCCAAACAAGAGCAAAAGTATCTCCTATTAAATACTAGACACACTACCAATTGCCAGAGACCGAGAGTCCTCTGAGAGTTCTATCAGCTTAAAACAAAAACCATAAATCAATCAGCTGAAACCAAACAAATAAGTGAAAAACAAATGGCTTTCTACATAATAAAGCTTTGTCATGGCCATGCAAAGACCTTTATGCTCACCAAATAAGAATTGAGAAGTTTTGTTTGGATGAAAACATGTTTTGAAATTTTAGGCCTGATTTTGTCAAATCATCAATTGTGAGATAGATTAATTTAATTAAAAATAATGGGGTTTCATATAAAAGGCATTCAATGGATCATTCAACAACAACACGAAACCTTTATCCCACCGAGTGTGGTCGGCTAAATGAATCATTTTTCTCCATTGTGTCCTATTTAGTGTCATATTTTCATTTAATTCTAAGAAATTAAGATCATTTTTTATTCAATAAGCCCATGTCTTCCTAGGTCTACCTCTGCATTTCTTAACATTAGTCGAATCTAAAATATCTACTCTTCTAATTGCATCATCAAATGGTCGACGTATAATGTGACCAAACCAACTATAACGACTTTATTTAATTTTGTTCGTCACTGGAGCTACACCAACCCTATCAAAGATATATTGATTTCGCATTTTGTCTCTAATTGTAAAGCCACTCATCCACCTAATCATTCTCATCTCGGCAATACTTAACTTAGTTTTATGCTTCTCTTTCAAAGGCCAACATTCAGCGCCATAGAGTATTGCAGGTCTCACCGCCATCTTATAAAATTTTCCCTTCAATCTAAGCGGCACTTTTCTATCACACAATATGTCGGAAGCATTGAGCAACTTGAATTCTACTAATAAAATCTCCATCAATATCACCATCACTTTGAACAATAGACCCGAGATATCTAAAGCGTTGACACCTTGACACCTTTTAATAATTTTAATTTGATCACCCATAGTTATATTTCTGTCACTAGAGATAATACTACTAACCTTACATTCCATGTATTCAATTTTAGTTCTACTCAAACGAAGGCCTTTAGACTCCAAGGTAGAACTCCATAATTCAAGTTTTTCCTGAGCTTTTTCTCTTGTCTTATCCACGAGAAAGATATAATCACCAAAAATTGTACACCAGGATAAACCCTCCTGTAAGTGCCTAGTAAGACCATCCATAACTAAAGCAAAAAGATATGAGCACAAGTAACCATCCATAACTGATCCCTATTGTAAACCGACAAAAATAAGAAAATATTTGGTCAAACCTCTTTCTGTTCGAACACAAGTAACAACTCTTTTATACATATCTTTAATGACTTAAATATAAGTCACATCAACACGTTTCTTTTCAAGAACTCTCCAAAAGATATCTCTTAGAACCTTATCGTAAGCTTTTTCTAAATCAATAAAAATCATATGTAGATACTCCTTATTATCTCTGAACTTCTCCATCAAACCTCTCAATAAATGTATCGCTTTCATAATAGACCTATTACGCATAAATCCAAATTGATTATGAGAAATCTTTGTAATACGTCTTAACCTATGTTCAATTAGCCTCTCCAATAATTTTAAAGTATGACACATCAACTTAATTCCTTTATAGTTTGCACACTCTTATGCATCCCCTTTATTCTTAAAAATAGGGACCAAAATACTCTTCCTCCACTCTTCAGGCATTTTTTAGTTTTTAAAATAATATTAAAGATTTTAATAAGCCAAGAAACTCCCAAATCTCCTAAATATTTCCACACTTCAATTGGGATATCGAGTCCTACAAACTTTCCACCCTTGGTTTTTTTTAAAGCCTCCTTAACTTCTTTTTTACTAATGTTGACAGTAATAATGAAACATTTTATTATTATTAACGATATTAAAATCACCAAAGTCGATCATATTTTACGGAACTTCATTAAAAAGTTTATTAAAATAACTCACTCAACTATTTTGAATATCTTTTTATAAAAAAACATTTTTTGATTTTCATCTTTAATACACTTTACATGAGTTAAATATTTAAATTTATTTTCTCTTTGTTTGGCTAGTTTATACATATATTTTTTACCCTCCTTAGTATCTAATATATTATAAAGATCACCAAAAGCAGAATTTCTGGTTTCACATATCATTCTCTTAGACTTCCTGTGGGCCGTTTGATATTTTTCTCAATTCTCTAAGCTTTACCAAAAGCAGAATTTCTGGCTTCACATATCATTCTCTTAGACTTCCTGCGGGCCGTTTGATATTTTTCTCAATTCTCTAAGCTTTTAAATTTAAACCAATTTTTATAGCATAGCTTCTTATATTTTTTTTCTTTTCTTGCACATTATTATTCCACCACCAAATATTTTTTATAGAAGCTTTTTCTTTTGATTCTCCAAGTACAACTTTTGTAACTTATTTAATAATGTTTGTTAGTTTATCCCACATAAAACTTGCTACTTCAGGAACATCCGAACATCCCAAATTTTAAAATCTTAAATTTTACTCATAAAAATAATTTTATTTGTGTATTTTAAGTACCCCATATAATTTTACGATGATTATTCATAGTATTTTTTATTTTACAACTCTTCATCATAAAATCTAGAACTAATAATCGATGTTAAATACTTAAATGCTCACTTGGAATGACCTTACAGTCTTTACATTCTCTACGATCTCTTCTTCTCATAAAAAAATAATCAATTTGTGTTTTATTAGATTCATTCTTATAAGTAATAATATGTTCATCTCTTTTCTTGAATAGTATTAGCAATAACAAAATCATACGCTAAAGCAAAATCTAATATAGCTCTACCTTCTTCATTAATCACTCCAAAACCATAGCCACCTACTTGAGGAGCATAGGGCTATAATTTCATCTCCAACTCTATTAATTTTTTTCTACTGAAGTGTTTATTTAAATCTCTTCAAATAAAAATTCTTTCTTCAAGAGGTATTATTTGTATTATGTTTTCTAAATCATTCCAGAATTTATCTTTAGAACCTATTTTTAAACCTACTTGAGGAGCATAGGGCTATAATTTCATCTCCAACTCTATTAATTTTTACAACATTATCTTTCAAACTCTTATCTATAATTACACCTACATCATTTCTAGTGCGACTCTTACATGAATACCAAAGTCTAAAACTTAAGTTATCAATCTCCTTAGCATTTTCTCCAACTCATTTAGTTTCTTGGACACATAAGGTATTTATCTTTTTATGAATCATAATATCAACTAATTTCATTAATTTATCAGTGAAAGTTAATTTACCAGTGAGAGTTAACCCACCTATTATGAATTCCATCAATTTTCAATAGTTAATTACGTAACAACTTGCACAAGCTACAAAATATCATATAATAAATTATTCAAAATAAAAGTATAATGCAGACATCAAATAATTAAACTAAGATAAGATATCAACTCAAAATAACATAAAATATCAAAATAAAGTCAGACGTAAGATAAATTTAGCATAATAAGATTCTCTCTAGTTATCCAACATACCACAATAGATTCAAATAAGAATATAACGAAGGGCTAGCAGTAACGATGGTTGAATGAAGGGTAGTGGGGCGATAGCTACTGAAAGAGAGGGCCATGGTAGCTACTAAAAGCAGGGAGGGCGGTGACTCGGGCTGCAAGAAGGGATCACAACGACAATGATAAGAATGGCAGTTGTGAGTTCAAGAAGGGATGGCAGCGGCTGCTGCATAGAACTCGGAGAGGCAATGGCAAAGATGGCAATTATGAGTGCAAGAAGAGATGGTGGTGGATGCTGCAAAGAACCTGGCAAAGTCTGTACAGAAAACTGGTAGCAGACTTAGAGGCAGGTGACATTATTAAATGAAGACACGGAGTCCGCGATTGAAGAAAAATAGGAAAATCATCTATCAATGAGGCTTACGCCTCATTGCAGTTTCCAAAGAAAAGCATCGAGGTGCATCTCGTCTCTAATCATACAATTTAACATTAGGGTTTGACCAAAGAAGAATGAGTTTTTTATACTTTGATATCATAATTTGGGATAACCCATGGGCGACTTATAGCCTTATTAGAGTTGGGTTGACATGACAGCTCATCCAACAACATAATTGGCTTTTTGTCATTAGAGTTGGTTCCCGGATATAATTTATTGAAGTATTTGGGCCAACAAGAGTCGATCGATCAAATAGGCTTGGGGACTACATAAAGTCCGATGTTGTCAAGTTTTGCTTAACCAACGGCTCTATAAAATGTCTACACCAAGTATTGATCATCATCATGCTGGAAAGAACATAAATAAAGTGAACCGCATGTGCATAAAAAATATGAAAAAAAATAAGTGTTAAATGATTGTTAAAGGAGGAATTAATACAAGATTGTCATAGGTAAAGTAAACTTGATATGTCCAAATTGTGGCTCATAGTTGTCTCGCCGAATGGATTGTTGTAGCAAAGGCCTCAGGTGAACTGTCATGAAGTTGACAACTCATAGCGAGCAACAACTTAAAGATTAATAAACAATGCCAAGCCATTTTCCCTACGCTTAATATGGGGTCAATTAAATATTAGTTACACGTATAATATTTGGTACCTTTATGAGATTGATTCACCAACTCCTATCATATAGTCCCTCGTACATTTTCATGCTTTACAATTTTCCTTTCACGTATGCATGCATCTCTGACAGCTTCTAAGTCCATAAAACTTACATAAACTATGAAGCAAGTGTCAAAGAAAATGAAGAATGCCAAAGGAGCCAAGGCAAAAGCTTTGGCGAAGCTTATAAAGAGATCTACATGATTAGAGCTTGTTTCTACTTAATTACCTGCAAAAGATACAAGTGGAGCCAACTTGTTTTATAAGAAAACGTCAATGATAACATAATTGTATCATCACAACATAAAAGTCAATGCCCACTAGAATCCAATCCGATGTCTTATGACATGATAGATCGAATTGAAGAAAAAACATTCATATTATTGCAATTAAATTCTAAAAATTGAATTCAGTATTATTTTAGAGATGAATTAGTTATCTCAAAGCTTTACCTCCATATATTTTAAAAGGAAAGTTTAGGTTCCAAGGTCAACCAAGATCTGCTTTTCAAGGTGATAAATGAGTCATTTCTTCGGCCATCTCAGATATCATGATGACAAGATTTGTCAGGAAAAAAGTTCAGGCTTAGCGTGTGCGTATAACCATAGCATGAAAGTTGGAAAGAAAATGAACTTCCCGCCAATCTAATGAGTTTAGTTCCCGACAATAACTTTTTTTTGTGATTGATCTCGTCCATCGGGCAGCACCTTAAAGAGCATTAGTATTGTTTATGAAGAAAAAAAAAGATGAGATTTTTAGCTCTATATCAGCAATCATAGACATAATAAAGTGATAGATAAGAACTAGTACTCTATGTCGACCAACTTCAAGAACAAATGTGTTCTTTAAAGTCAACTTAAGGTCTAGATACCATCAACTCAAGCTCAAGCAAGACAACATATCAAAGACAGGCATTTCAAGCTCAATACGGGCACTTTCAATGAGGTGGAAACAAAGATTGAGGCTCTCTTGGCTTCTTTAAAAATTATAAAATGATTTTAGACAACGAAAATACTGTTGAATTTTCATAAAGCTTTCTTCAATCTCAATGACAATGTCCAATTGAAGCTAATAGCATTATTGCAATGATAGTCCTCATGGCCACAAGCTTTGCAACAACTAGGATCCGCTTAGCAATTTTAATCCCCGTGGAGATTGTCTCGATAGGTCACTCTCTAAGATATATGATCTCTTCTACATTTTCTGTGCCAACAAATTCTATTAGAATTACCGCTATGATGGAAACATCATATGTCGGAGAGTAAGTCATCATTTCATCAATGTCAATGAACTTTCACATTCCCTCCAGCATTTCACTGATCATCCTTGGAGATATTTTGGCAATCAAATATTTAAAAGGTGTGTTTCGGAGGGACCATTATAGCAAACAACACGGATTATAACAAACAACATGGAAAACACTTGCTTTGAGGTCATCACTTCCTCAATTGCCCAAGCAAAAGCAAACAATGTAGCCCTTGAGAGAATTTTCCTTTCAAAAAAATTGAGCAATGCCATTGAAAAATTTCAAGGCCCGCTTAGAAGTAGCAAGTTTGGCGACTTGATTCACCAAAAAAGAAAAAGAAAAAAAAAAAAAAAGATGTTGGGCATAAGACAGAGTGTACCACCTACATGCTAAATCCTTCAGCATGATAGCAAAAAGAACAGAACACAAATTTTTAATGGCCAATACAAAAGCCATTTCGTTGCCAAAAATTAATGATTGTTTTCTGGGCCTGCTCGACCACTTGACCTTATCAAGCAACAGTGGCTTGAACTTCACCAATGTCTCTTCAAGAATCTTCAAAAAAAAAAGGTAAAGATTCAACCACGTAATCATCAAGTGAGTGATGGAAAGAAAGCTCCTCCATATGGTGGTATCCAAGATGGTTCACCAGCAAAGAAATGTATGATGGTGGATATTGCAGCTTAAGATGTTGTCATTCAAGATAGATTATATTATGAGCCTCATTGTTGGCATTCAAGGGCAAAGTTGAAGTGACAAAACTATCACTTGAGAGTGGATTTGGGGCGGTAAGGTGAAAGGTTGGATGAATCAAGAGGCACACTTTCACTCATGTTTTGGGGGGATACGAAAAACCTTCGACTTTCCTACAAATAAGAGGCATTAAAAATTAAGTTGATGGGAACAGATGGCTACATGTTCTTCCATCAATTTTTAGATGGTAGCCAAGATGTTTCAAGAGAGCACCAAATACTTAAACGATGGACAATGGCTCAAACCTATAAGTTGACCCAAAGTCAAACTATTCTATTAGTTGATAGTGGATTGGGGTGGTAGGGCTAAAGGTTGCATGAATCAAGAGGCACAGTTCCTAGGGGGCGCATGAAAATATAACAATATCACTTGTGTTTTTGGGGGATACAAAAAACCTTCAACTTTCCAAAAAATAAGAGGCGTTGACGATGAAGTAGATGGCGACATATGGCTACATGTTCTTCCATCAATTTTTAGATAGTAGCCAATATGTTTCAAGAGAGCACCAAATATTTGAATGGAGGAAAATGGGTAACCCAAAGTCTAGCTGGTTTTCACTGAGGAAGAAGGAGAACCAGGAAGAAAAAAGGAGATAAGGGGTTGAGTCCTTGAGCATGTTTACTTCTTGATGGTAGGCAAGTCCAAGATAGGAAAGAATAGTAGGGAATATAATGATTAAAAAAAATAACATGCATTGTCTTCTATGTCCATTGAAAGGATGATATAAGAATTTTCATTACTCAAAGGAGATATTATAGTCTCTCTCTCTCTCTCTCTCTCTCTCTCTCTCTCTCTCTCTCTCTCTCTCTCTCTCTCTCTCTCTCTCTCTCTCTCTCTCTCTCTCTCTCTCTCTCTCTCTCTCTCTCTCTCTCTCTCTCTCTCTCTCTATATATATATATATATATATATATATCACGGAAGGGAATTAACTGAATTACAAGGCTTGAATTATAGTTTTAGTTCTCAAATTTCCCTACTGAAGTCTAAGAAATAAATAGAAGCTAACGATACTTAATACCAGAGGTGACCATATGGTGCCTTCAAGATTGCTAGACTAAATAGCAACAAGAATTAGCCTCTAGGATGAAAAGGAAAGTTCTTCATTTCGAGAATATTGGGAGTATATCAGGTTGTTGCCTCCCTAATGATGTGATCAATGTTAAACTAAATGATGCCGAGCGGTAAGTTTATTAGTATTTGACTGAAAAAGGAGACAAGGAAAAATTTCTACCTTTATCTATAAAGTTTTCATGTATTAGCTGTCAGCTTAATGAGTTTCCCTCACAATCTCCATCGATCGCTTACAACTAGAAGTTCACCTTTTATATTGCCTACTTTTGACATAGCTTACATCACTGAACATTTATATGCATGAAACCAACAAGAACAATGAAGAGAATAAACATATGAAATGTGTGTAACCAACGACATAAAATGCTTATATGAAAATGGTATGTAGCTTAAATACCTGAGATGAACTTATAATAAATTATAGTGCACTGGGTAAATGGGTCCATGAGAAAATACACTCATAGAATGGCAAGGGTTGCAACAATTAGAGGGATTAACAGGCTTAGAGTAGCAAACATATAAGATACACCTAAGAAAATACTCCCATGGCATGTATGATGCCAGCACCATTATTTTGCCATATCATAATAACTTGTTGCCATGCTTATGATGGCTTACAATATTTTATTCGTACGTCTGAAGTTTGAACTAAATTTTCTCATAGTCGCTCACTCAGATGATGAGTAGCCTCAGGGGAACTAGGTGAAAAATTAGCAAAAAAAGTGAATCACTTATGTAAAATTGATTTAAGAATCAAAACCAACAACTAAGCTCAATATTTAATAGGCAGACACGTATTAAGACTCTTCTAATTAATTAAATTAGAAAATATATTTTAAAAAAATGCATAGTTTATTAGATTATCATTTGGTTGGATCAATTAAAAAATCAATAGAAATTTTAAACTCTAAAGACACCTTTAAAACACTCAATAGTACTAAAATATGAGGATTTCATCTTTGACACTTGGAATGAGAGAAATAAAAAATCACCACTTCTCAAAAGGTGTGTTATATCCATCAGAAGAAAATATGAATTGCTTTAATTTAAAAAAATGAAAAAAAAAATCATTTGAAAAGGCAACTTCACTGAAAATGGGAACCCCATAAGGAGGGAATTTTCAAATGTCCACTACATAATAAACCATTAATTAAAATGTAATAGAATGAATAATTTTTCATTTAAAAGGGGTTCACATTAAATGCCTTGAACTTATATGCTCGAATCAGCCAATAATGTTAAAAGAAGATCCTGATTCAGAAAAAAAAACAGCATAAGAAATGGTGAATAATTTGATTCAAATAAAGAAACCAGATTAAGTATATTCTAATACAACAAAATGGAGAAAAACAAGAAATGTCAATCAAATCAAAAAATTATCGTCATATAAGATTTGTAATTGAGGATCTATGATGCATATTAACAAGCGTTCATGTTTATAAATCAATGCAAAAATACATACAATAAAACCCTAAAAAGAACACATAGGATAACAGGTCAAATCCTGTGTTAAATCATGGTTGGTATGTTACCTGTATATAATTGCCACCATAAAAGGCATTATTTCCAATTTGAAATTGAGTACGAAAATCCGAACCCTGCGCACAAGTACAAGAGATCAAGCTTCAAAATTATAAATTTACAACTAGCAATTTCAATCATCATCAACAAGATAATCACCAATTTAAAGTGGTGCTAATATGTAGGTCAACAATAAATTATAAAATTAATGCCAAAACTAAAGAAAAATATAATTTTGAATTTTGAGAGTGCAAGGATAACCCAAGTGTGGTGTGAATTAGGCACGCAAATACTAAGATGTCACATGTAAAGGACACGCTGGAACTCAATCCATTAGTTATAGAAGTTAACAGTGGGGAAGGATTAGCAAAACATTATAACCTAAACTAATTGTTGTAAAATATAAACAATGTTTGACTAGTTGAAAAATAATATTATATTTGCCACATAAAAGTTGGGACTTGAATAAAAAAAACAAGATAATTGAACGATAAAATCAATAGATGAAGATAAAAATTACTTAGTCTATAGCAGCGTAAATGAAAAGAATAACAGTCGAGCACATTGGGGTAAGCCATTGTATGTTCAAAAGGTTAACGATAAAAACAGGAATTGGGATAATAGTGGATATGTATTTGAAAGATAAAATTGTTGGGATGAATAGAGAAATAGAGTTGGTAATAGGGTATCACTCTTGACAATAGAAAGGTGGTTAAGGAGAAAAAATAACTATTGGTAGCGATTTAAATGAACATATTTCAAGTAGAATGAGCTATGAGAGGATTCATGACAAAAATAATATAGAAGATATTAATACAAAGGAAGAAGTTATGCTCAATTTCATGTAACCTATGATCTCAGAATGGCAAGCACATACTTCAAAAAATAAGAAAAGCTCTTAATTAAATTTAAAAGTGGAACAACCAAATCACAAGTAAACACATTTTCACTCAAAAAGAATCTTTAAGTTAAAATGTGGAAGCAAATTTTACTTGAGTGTGAAGAATATGGTAAAAAAAATACCAAGGTAAAGTGATGAAATGTAAATGATGAGAAATTATTAAGCTATCCAAAAAAGTTGCAATAAGAAAATATTATAATTTTTTAGTTGAGCCAAACTTGATATAGAAGAACATGAATAATTACCATATGAAGATTATTGAAGCAGTTTAGAGAAGTCTATAAGCAATTACACAAGCAAAGCCAGATAATGGAGAGAAGGGATTGAAAATTTTATTAAGAAAAGAATTATGCTTTTAAAGAGCGGAAATCATTAAATATTATGGCTTATAATGCTTACAATAAAAAGTAAATAGTCTCAGCAAATGTGTGGAAGCTCCTGTTATAGCTTTTGGTGAGCAAGAAATAGAGAAGTTAAAGATTTTGATGAAAGTAAATGCGGTAAAATCAAAAAGATAATATGATCTTAGCTAAAAAGTAAGAATAAGGAAACAGTTGGAACTACAACTTTATAGACAAACTAAACAGAAGTTTCAGGGAATAAATTATTATGAATTGACAAAAGAATTTGATATAACATATATTAACCTTAAAAAGAATTAGAGTTAGCTTTATAAAATGCGTAAAGAAAAATTTTTAGGTCCAAATCAATTTATATTTTATGAATAATATTACAATGGAGAAAGGTAGAGGTAGACCTAAAAATCCTTGGGCATGTTGTATAAAAAATAATCTTAATCTATTCGAATTAAATGAAAATATGAATAGGACACAATAGAGAAAAAGGATTCATGTAGCCAATCCCATTCAGTGGGATAAAGGCTTAGTTGTTGTTGTTGTTGTTGTTATTATTGAAGGATATTACAATGATTTAATCTATAACTTTGTTATTATTGAAGGATATTACAATGATTTAATCTATAACTCAATAAAATTTTAAATACTCAGAGGAAGAGCATTTTAAATCAATAGTTTTATAAATTAAAAAATATAAATTTTATACGAATTTAATTTATGACTCACATTATAAAAAAAAAATTAGACAAAATAAAAGGCATATACTTTGAAAAATTACTCTAATTTTCAAAAACCAATTTGGTTATACATAAAGATGATCCACAGTGAAAACATTTATTGAATTATGACAATTAATGAAAAATGATAGAGTGGAATAGAGAAAAAATCCACATTAATATTAGAAAAACATATGAATCCATATGATTGAATGCCAGGAGAATTGATTTAGAGCGTATTAAAGGAAAAATATATACATGAAAGGTGTGTTGACTTTAATAAACTAATAATACTAGAGTACTAACTAGTATTAAAGATAGTTATGAAGTGGTTAAAGAGTTTTCAATCACAATAAAAATAAATTGAGATTGAACATCAAGTAATTATCTTTTTAAATTGTTTAAAAAGAAACAAAGGATATTAAAGGTAGCATCCTGTAATATATTCTTTTTAGAGATGACATAATTCTAATAGCGAGACATCTACTAAAAAAAATAAAAAATTAAAACAATGGAGAAAATAATTAAAAGAAATATGAAATCAGAATTAATAGAGCAAAATAAGTATTTGTAATAACCAATCAATCTTATTAAAAGATAGTGATATCAACACAAGAAAAATTCAAGCATCTTGGATCTACATGAGATTCAAGATGAATACGAGCCTATAATTTTTAAAGTTAAAATTAAGTGTTTAGAATATCACGAAAACCTAATAATAAAATTTATAAAATTGTTTTGATGCCAATGATGTCAATTGGGTCTAAGCATTGCCAAATAAAAATAATTCCACATTAAGGATGACAAAATTGAGAACATTAAAATAATGCTTGACAAAATTGAAATATTAACTAATGAATGATTATATTGTGTGAGTGATTAGAGTGTTACTCATTGAAAATAATTTAATTGAAAATAATCAAAGACGATTTGGACATATACAATGAAAAGTAAAAAAAAATGCATCCATTAGAATAGATAAAGTACCTCAAGCAAAACTCATTATAAATTAATGAAAAATAGAGATTTCAAAAAGCCAAACACAAATTGAAATAAAACTAATATTGGAAGTGATGATAAACCAAAGGCACATTGAATAAATAGTAACTTAGATTTCAATAAAAGCTTATAACTACAAATGACAATTGAAAATAATTTTAAAATATATGATTTCATTGAGCTTCAATCATCTAAAGAGGAAACTTCAATGACGATGAAGGTCACAAAGACTTGAACTAAAAGTATGAGGAGCAAAAAAAATAGAAATCAAACAATATGTGGGAGAATGTTGTTACTAATGATGGAGATGATTGTAAAAGAATTATAAGCAATTGAAGGTGGATGATGAACCCACATTTTTCTTGAGAATCTAGGACTTTCAATACTTAAAACATTTGTTGTCCATCAACTATAGAGATGCAAATTCAAAAAGTCTATTAATTGGAAACATAAGACATTAGAATCAAAGATAGCAAATTGACAATGTAAACTCTATTTTTTTTTTCTTGTTTTTAAAATTTTCTAAATAATATCTAACTTTCTTGTTGGGAACATGTCTATGATAATCTCTATGCAAATAAGTTGCTCTCTATTGTTTGAATTTAAACAGTATAATTTGATTTGATTTAGCTGCTAGTTCTCTGTATTGCTTATTGTTGGTTCTCTATTGATTCAACCCCTATTCAAAAATATGTTGGGCCATAATTTAGGACGTAAGACAATGTAGTTGCTAGTTGTTGTTCGGCCGTGATTTGAATCATAAGTTAACCCTAATTATTCATTACTATAACAGTAAAGAAACTGCAGCTCCTTGAATACTTTGGTTGTTGCAGATTGGATGTCTTATCGAATATTTATTTGTGAGCAATTTTCTATGAGTCTTCTATAAATGATAGTTGTGATTCTTTGATGTGATTGGTGATTCTTTTATGTGATTAATGACTCATATACAGCCATAATTACAAGAAAATTATAGCTTTCATCCAAATAGAAAAACATCTAATTGAATACTAAGGTTTTTTTTTTTTTTTTTCAATTATATTTGCATTTTTTTTAGTTATGAAGTAAATGTGAACCTATTTAACATGGTGTAAGTGATGACTGTCAATTTAAGGGAAAATATATCTCCTTGAATAAAAGTGAGACTTAAATTACTATTATGCATTTCTTTCCTTATCATTTCCATAATGTATATTTTTAGATATTAGTCTACATGTGAGTGGATTTGGTCAAAGTTTGAACGAATTAGATTTTCTAATTGCATTATTATTTCTAATCAACATATGACTTTCTTTCAACCAAAATTTCTATGCGAAAATTTTATTTTGGTGCTTTACATGATTTTTTTCCCTTAATTTTCATCAGAAAAAAATAAATATTGACTTAAATCAAAGGGTGTTGAAATAGAAATTTTAATTTTGTGTGCAATATTCAAGCATTAAATCATACGGTTATAATCAGGAACCTTAGACCATAAGATGACAATTATTAAACTACAATGCCAATAGTTGCATCATCAAATCAACTAAAATGACACATAATAATTGGGTCCATCATTTAAATAATAATAAAATGTAATTTAAATGAAACATGATAAACTCTGTTTCAAGAAAATTATAGCCTAACTATCATGAGCTAGTGATTATATTTCAACATTCAATGAAATAAACTTAAGAAATTTTTACAAGAATTAATAATTTAATAATCTTTGAATTTTGCTTGAATTCACAAGTGAATTTGCAACAACAAAATTAATAGGATATGGTCAATATTATCGATGCAGTATTGTAGCTAAATCTACAAAAGCTGAAATGAAGGAACAAAATATTTCAAACAATAATTTTCAGTCAATGAACTTGAGACTAGCCACAACGTCAATTGAAGAATTATAAATAGTGTTATCATTATGAATTTGAATATTATACAAGTTCAAAAATTTTATAATGAAATATATTTCCATTTATATTGTTATTTTATCATTTTCTAATGTATTCAAGATCTCAATAAAATGAGTTAAGGACGCTTTAAATTACAATCCACTAAAAAAATACTACCTGTCGCTAGTTTTGGATATTAAAAAATATTATAATTATTCTTTCGTTAAGATTGCATTACATAGGATAAATATTTCAAAAGAAACATGATTAGCATCCCCCCTAAAGCCTATGAAACCTATATCAACACCAGAATCATGCATAGTAAAATTCATTCTCATCGAAGAAACTACAATTCAATAATATTCTTTTACAATGAATTAGATGTTGAAGAAGACATCTACTTGCAATATTATTCAACAACTAATTTTATTAAATAAGCATATGCAACTAAATTAAAACATGTTAACAAACCAGAAAGGATACATGAAAAAGATCAGGTTTCAAAACAATCATAACATGAATGAAAATTGTGTGAATGAAAGGAAGCATGTGAATTCTTTTCCTTCAGACATAATGCAAATAGTTAGCAATGAACAACCCGACAATCACAATGTGTCTGCCATGCAAGCTGTGTACATGGCCTCTAGTTATCATGTTAAAAAAAGAGCAAGTTGTTTGGCATAAAAGTGGCATGTTGAAGGTTGTGCATATAAAGATCAATGTTTACCAGAATGTCAAGCCTATGGCCCCACATTAGGACATATAAGTAGAAGTTCTGCACCACAGAATAAACTTCATGGAGAGCTGAGAAAACTTCAAGCCCTATTTAAGTGGGTGCTAACCTGCTTGTGTCACCTGAAAGTAGCGCAAGTAGATACCAACCTACCGGGTTAAACCATGTTCTCGACACCCCTCATGCACAATAATTTTAGGCCTCTATTAATAAGATTCCTCTTCATGGTTTGATTCTTAGCTTTACATTGTTCTTGGCATGGTGAGATTTTTAGTTATTTTAGTGTCACAATATTTGATAAAAAACTAGTCCTACTATATAAACACTAAGAGAGAGAAAGTAAGCTTTATGTTATTATTCTTTTAGAATGATAAGGTCACTTCACATTTCGAATAGACCAACATTTTGATTCATTCCTTATGGGCAAGTAAGTTTGTCTTTTGAATAAATAATTTAGAGCTTCTCGATGTGGTAGAGCTCTACGTGCAATGCTTTAAATGTATATCTAAATAATCTTTATTCCTCAAATAGACCAACACCTTGATTCATTCCTCAAGCGGCAGTAAGTTTGTTTTCAAATAAATAATTTAGAGCTCCTTGATGCAGTAGAGCTCCTTTGGACGCCCACATCTTTTAAATTAACTATCACCTAGAAGGCTCAAAAAAACACATTTGTCATCTCCATTTAGCAATCTTTCAAAAAATAGTCCCATCCCTGCAATCTGCTCTCACCTCAAACCACAATTCTCTCTCTAGCAAGCATTCTCGCCCAAATCCATTTGTATCATTAAAAAATAGCTACAACCTCTTCAACACGAAGTTAAAGTAAACACCCAAGTCCTCAGCTTCCTCCTCCCTCATTTCCATTACAATTACCATTGTTCACTCTTTCTTATGAATAGTAGTTTTTTCATGACTAAAGTTATAGAGTCTTCCATGCATATCCAATTTTTCTTCTTTTTAACGAAGATTTTTACTTTTTGAAATATTAAGTTTGTTTTGTTATCACCTTTCATGAGGGTTCATGCAAAGGCAAAATCAAACTATGGCATATACATTATTTGCTACTTTATTATTGCTACCCCCTTTGCACTACCTTCAGCATTAACCACCTTGTCCGTCTCCTAATTGACATAAACCACCCCCAATGCACAAATTAAATTGGCCTGAAATGGGCACCGGACACCAAACATGCTATTCACTCAGCAATAAAAATCACGCGAAAGAACTTCAAAAATGGAGAAGAAGTAACATTACTAACAATAAACATCCCTTACGAATAGTCTATGGTTAAATTAATAAGCGCAAAAAGGAATTCGGAGCGAGTCTAGCTTAATAAGCTTTCCCTTAATGCAGTTTCGCTAAAATTTTCAGACTAGAAGGAATCATATAATGACTTTTGCATGATAAAATATCCGGTTTACGCTAGATTATATTTTTGATCCGACTATGCCAAGCAACCATAGAATTGCACACAAATCGCAAACTAAATAATCGTTGAAAAAAGAGAAATAATTACATTTCAAACTCGCAAAAAATAGCATATATAGTGCTAAGGAGGTCTTTAGTTTGGTGCTTTATTCAAAGACCCTTAAAAAGGGGATGTTGGCCTCATATATCACTTTTGATTTTAGCAACCTTAATGTAGGAAAACAGTAAAAAGTTAAATCAGCATGATTTCATTGACTTTTAAATTTTACAATTTGAGGCACCACAAGGCGAGGCGCCTACAAATAAGTGTGTAAAAAAATCAAATCGAGCTCAAGCCATTCTTAACTTAAGCTTAAACTTGATTAATTAATAAAGTTTGAGTTCAAACTCAAATAAAATTATACGTCTTTCAATCAACTTAACAACTATGTAATTGTACCATTAAATTCTAATAGATTTAATGTGCATTTTATATTAATATTTTTTAAACAAAATGGCTCATAACTAATAAGAAGAGTGAAGTTTGGATAAAACTTTGTTCGTTAGCTCATCAACTTGGCTCATGAGCGATTTATCCACTTGACTTAGTTCCACCCCGACTTACAAAATACCTTCAGGTTGTAATGTATGAATGAAATGTGTGTCTCAATCATCTAAGGTGCACCTAGATCCACTGTTCAATTTTAGGGTTACAAGGGATTGAGAATTTTTTATTTGAAAGCCCAAAACCCAACAAATAACATGAATCTAAGGAGAAATCACCCAAACAAGGAAGCTGCCACTGCGGGAAGAAACTCACACATGATAAAAATTTTTGAAGCTATTGTGTCACCATGCTTGTGCCGCCACCGTTGTTTTGCCGCAAACACTGCCAATGTTACTGCCAACACTAATCAATACCGCATTTTCTAAATTTATGCTCTTACTTTACACTTGTTTGTTGACTTAATTTTCTTTTTTCCTCTCCTTTTCCTATTCTTGGTCATGGATGACTTTTTCAATTTAGGGTTATTTAAAAAGGGTGAGAATTTCTAAAAAGGGTTCAATAGGATATGTGGAAAATAATAATAAAAATCCTCAATGATATTTATAGTTTAAGTACATATTCCAGAAGTAAACAGACATTTCTTTGAAATGCAAATATTATGAGAAAGATGTAGGAGGCATTACAAAAAGTGGGAACGTCTTTATAGTTTGTATAAAAATGTTGCATCATATACTACAATATCTGTGGTGATAAAGGACAAATGTACTTGCATGAATAAAGCAACAATATCAAAGCATTTGGCACAAAAGATAACTTGATATTATAGTCGATAATAGCTCCTATTATGATTGTGTCAAACACACTTTTTCTACCATGCCAAAAATCTCCAACATAGGTGCTAAGGGGCCAACAAATCAATAAATGATAAATGTGGTCGAAAAGAATGATGATATGAGAGCAGCCCACTGAATGTCCCCGATAAATATCAAAAAGTCTCATAATTACATTTGCAAGGATATTGGATAGTCCTTTGACGATGTGACTTGTAATATGACAACGTCTCCATCATATTTTGTTCTATAGAGTCATATGGTCAAGATCTAAATCCTCCTTTCATAGATGAGCTTAGAACTTCGATATTGAAAGATAAATTGAATATCATCTAAAAGATCTTTGAGGGCATCAACTTGAAGTTACAATAATGTTAAATGATTGGTCAGATATCAAAAATAAGAACTTAATAAACATTCATGTTAACAACCCCTTTGACACTATTTTTTTATAAATTCTATTAAAGCATTAAACCAAGTAAATAATGTAGAGTATTTTTAATATTATTTTATCAAATTTCAAGGAAATTTTAGAGCATCTTGTCGTTTAAGTTGTCAATGACAACACAAATGCATATAATAGCTCTTAAGGAAGGACTAACCAGTTAGGGTAGCAAAAAGAGACCTATAGGAGGGAAGGAAGATAAAGAATTCATTCAATTTTCATTCATTCCATAAATAAATAAATAAAATGATCCCAACCCCATTTTATATACAAAAAAGGTTAATAAGATAAAATCTACTAATTTGAACTGAAATTTAAATAACTCCTAAAAGGTATATCATCTAATTTAACATAAAGACAATCATTATAACAAACACAATGAAACAAAACTAAAATCTAAACCTAATTAAAAAGCTACAAATTCTAGAAATAATCTTCTTAAATTGCATCACCTATGCAACCAAAAATACAGCCCTATGAGGTCTCTGTAGAGATGTGCAGGTTTCCAACATAAATCATAATTTTCAAAACCATTTTGCATATTTTGCCAAAAAAAAAAAAAAAAAAAGCAGAGTAAAAATAGCAAAGAAAGAAAGCTTCGGACAGGACCACATAATTGGAATTAAAAAAAAAAAACAAAAAAAATTCAAAAATAAAGGTGCAAAACTACATAATTAAGTACAGTTGGAAAAAAACACTAATTTAAGCAAAATATTAACATAAAGGCACAAACTCACATATAATGGTAAAAAGAACTAGAAATTTTAGACAGCTAAAAACTGCAGAGACAAGCCTCATATAATAGTAATAAGATGGCTTTGCATGTTATCACATAAAAAATCATTAGAGCAAATTTCATGCACAAAATAATCATATACAGAATGAGTTGTTAAAGTGCTTCAAAAATGACGGTCTAATAAAGTTGAATTAAAGAATAAGAGAGAGTGTAGGAAAACCAACCTTATAGTCAAAATTAAACATCCCCTGGGAAAAATGTGGCTCATTTGTAAGCTAGAAAAGATAAAATATATCAAATAAGATATTAAATATAAAAACAGCGAAAAGTACCATCTTTGAGAAACAAACAAAACTCAACGTCATTAATAAAGATATACCTGGGCATTAACCTTCAAAGTTAAATTGTCCGTCAAGTCACATTTAACTCGTGCATTCAGTCTACCATCAGTAAGTACTCTTCCGACTAGCATCAACTGCAAAATTATCTTACACTTATACCCGTTGAAGACTAATGCAGTTAAGAAAAAAAAAAGGATAAAAGTGGAGACCTACCTTAGGGTCAAGAAAGTTGGCACCAAATTCATAATGTGCGGTAGGAACTTTTATAGTGTCGCTAGACTGTGAGGGAACTTCCATTGACCCCATAAACACGCTGATTGATGATTAACATATCAAAAGCTAAAGGAAAAAAAGTTACTAGAAATCACAACCATCACAAAATATCTTAACTACCTGTGGCTTAAAGAAAATTTCTGATTGAGGCCTTTTGTGAAGTCAAACCTCAATCCCTCAAACAATTCTGGCTTCAGAGACACTACCCAAGAAAATAAATAAATAAATCAATGCAATGTTGCGATAAAATATATGAAGTGGACTAGTAGACGGCTTAATTCTTAGCACAAAGATAATTAATCAGCATAGCACTTTATAAAAACCAAAATAACAACCTACAATTTTATTCAAATATGTGAAAGAAAAACTAACTATAGAAATATTATGGTAAATCGAATCAATGCAAACATATTATGGAAATTCTGCTCAACAGCATTATTTTTTTTAGGTTGTCAACAAAACATGGACCTAAACAAACACTGATAATACTTTGCAACAGCACTTCCATATCACTACTCCTAAACTCATATGAATTATTTGACAAGAGCTTATCTATGGTAAGCTAAGTTTAACTTAAAAATAAAAAAAGGGGCATTCACATACATACCACACAATTCTTATGCATTTACACATCTAAAACATAAACTTTAGTTCAAACAATTATACCGCCCTAATCTTTCATATCACATCAAAAGTACAATTATTTTAACTTCTAAAAATTAAAATACACCTTCTCATGTAGGTAAGGTGGCATATATGTAAAAATTAAAGTTTAGATGTTAGTTATGTAAATACATAAGAATTGAGTGGTATGTCTGTAAAACGCTAAAACACGCTCTGCATCCTCAGCAACCTCCAACCGCTCCACCAGCTTAGTTGCTAAGTTTACACTATTTATTGCAGGTCAATTGGAAAACAATGAATCTTTGGAATGGTTTTGGATAAATCAGCAGTAGATTTTTCATTCTTTCATAAATTTTTAAGGACTGTAATTCTGGTTTTATGCATTTGTTTCAAAAGCTAAAATTCTTTTGAGATATTAAATATTGCATCCATTAACCATCAATAATAAGCTTACAAAAACATGGCGAAGGCCTCTTTTGCATATGTTTATTAAATGCCTCCTTTGCTAGTTAATATGGATTTTACTTGCAATATACTTAATGAGAATAAGAATAATTGTTCTACTACTTATCTACAGAATATGTAGTGATCCCAGTCAAATCTCTCAACAATATATGATGACTACAAAATGCATTTTTCTCTTTAATAAATTCATAAAGGAATTGCACTCTGATTTTACCGATAAAAACTGTCTTAAAGAAATAGGAGATGAGTGAAAAAGTTATAGTTTATAATTACAGAATAAACCAGTATCTAACTACATGACCAATTATTTGAGTTGGCAAGTGTTAATTATTTCTAAAAACCTAGTTTAAAAAATTACTTTTTGATGCCTGAAGCCATTAAGATCAGTACGAGAAACAATAAAAAAGTCGAAAATAACAGTTGACAATAACATTTCACGCATGAAAGTAAAAAATTTCTACCCCAATAACTTCATGATTCATCAGCTAATTGACTAGGCTGTGTTAATAACAAGATAACAGAGACAAAACCAAACAACCAATTATGTGAATGATAAAAATGAGAAACAAAATTAAAGGCTTCTTATCCCAATATGAATGTTTTATTAATCAAGAAATGCAAGTGATATCATTCCTAAACATGTAACTTGGTAAAACTTCGAACTTACCAACATGCTAGAGAAGCTAGTCATGCATTTTAAGGAGTAACAATTGTTTTGTCATGGTTTGAGCCGGAATACACATTGTTAGCAATTTTAGGGTGTATTTGGCTGCACTAAGAATTTATATTAAGTAGGATTTAGTAAATCCGGTAAATCAAGATCTATAAAATCCGGCGTTGTTAAATCCAAGATGTTTGGTATGATTTAAACTTAAATCTGTCTAAATTCATCTATTCTATTTGACATTTTATCAGGATTTAATTTTCGTGTGCTCTAAAACAGTTAAATCCACCTAAAAATTGAATTTAGTAAATCCGGATTTACTTCAAAAATTAAGGGAGGGCGAGAAATTTGAATTCAACAAACTGTAGTATTTATTTCATGTTTTTTCACATTTTTTCACATTTGGACGGATTTACGTTAATGCCCGTAAATCCTACAAATATTATACTACCAAACACCGCCTTAGAATAGTTGCACTCGAAAAATAGAAATTGAATTTATTAATCATGTAAGTGGATGTAGAGAATAATATGAAGCCCTCCACTTCCTCTCAAAAAGAAGAGGCTTACTCCTCCCTTCAAAAACAAGCAATACCAAACATAATGATAGCAGGCAAAGTTTATGATTTCCCATCCCCCTCATCATTCAATTGACTCCAATAAGCAGCTTGAAATTTAAAATACAATGCATCAATTTTTTGGAAAACTCCTGTTGCAGATTTCAAAACATATTTTTTACGCCAAGTACAAATAAAATTTTAAAGTAAGAAGAGAAGAGTAAAAAGAAAGATCTTCAACTAAAACTTATCGAATTCACATTCAATCTCACTTGCTTGAGTTTAAAGCAATTATTCAAAATAAAATTTTAAACAATGAGAGCTCAAGGTAAAAAATGTGAATTCTCTTACAATTTTCTCATATGTGTTTACTTACACTGTTACGCAAGCAACAATTGAACAATGATCATCAATACACAGTGTTTGATAGCTCTAAATGTGACCAAAATCAGGGTTTAAAATTTAAAGAACTGTGCAGAAAACCCTCAAATCATTGAGAAACTACAATTGTACATTTCAATCACATCGTCGGTATCATTATTAGAACTTCATTTATAAACTACTCGCTGCACGTGAGAGATTGCAAAGTAAAACTTGTAAAAAAGATACCAAGCATCAATTTAAAGGCCAAAAAACGGACATAATCAAAAGATAACTATATAGCTCCAAGCGTAAACCAATTGAATAAAAAGCGTTTAATCAATCAAAGGATCGATACTGACTCAACGCTTCCCGCTGAATCTCCTCGAATGGTAGTGGACATGGTAGATTCCGCCAGTCGACCTTCTTTACTACCTTCTCCTCCGTCTTAGGGGGCAACAGCACGCCAAGACCAACGGGATTCGAAGAATGGGTTGGAGGCGGCGGTGGGGGTGCGGCGGCGTGGCTGGTCGCTAATCCCATACTTCTACTGATCGGATGAGTTTCGGTGTCGGGAATGTGATGTTATAAGGAACGGAAAGGCGAAGAAGAAGGGTTAGGGTTCTTTCCTCTTCCGCTTCTGCAAGAGTGAAAAGGCGGCTTCTTCCCTTTTTGAAGGAGGCGAGAGGAAGCAGAGCCGAGATCCCTCGGTTGGGTTTCTTTTTTCTTTTAGCGGCTGGAGCGTCTAGGGGTTTTAGCTTCAATTTTCTTTTTCTTCCTGTAAGAAAGTAATTAACTTGAGTGTAGCCTTTCATCATCTCATTTATGAAATAATATTTCTATTTGTAAAAAAAAAGAGTATAATATATTGAAATTAATTTTTTTTCTATATTAAGGATGGTTATACATGTATGAGTAATTAGGAACTTAAGATGAGTGCAGCCTTTCATCATCTCATTTATGAAATTATATTTCTATTTATAAAGAAAATAGTATAATATATTGAAATTAATTTTTTTTTCTATATTAAGGATGGTTATACATGTATGCCGGATATTTTTTAGATATTTGTATATGATTTGGTTCTTTTCTGACTCAATTGGCTGAGCTCATTTGTCTTCAACTCAGTATGATCGATTAATACTCTTAGGTTTTGTCAATGTCGTTGGTTGGTTAGGCTTGGTGGGCTTCAGGTCGATACAACTAATTTGATTGGCTAACTCAGTTTGATAATGGATTGGGGAATTACTGAATACCTCTTGTAAGATTGGAGATGTCGGTGAAAGTATTCCCTCATGTCTGCTTCTCAATGTTAGTTGGCTTGGATGTTTATTTTTCTCTTTTATGACAGAAGGACTTGAATTTTGTCTTTGAATCTAGATCGACTTTAGCCTTGCTTGCTCTAGCTTGGATGATTGCAACCGATCAGATAAGTGGGCCTATTGGCCTGGACGAGCCCTCATTTGTCATATTTTCTCCGTTAGATTTCCTCGTGATCAACATTGCCACTTTTTGATATACAATATCACATCAAATTTTTTTTATTATTATTTTTAAAAGTGGAATTCATCTTATGTATAAAAAAAAGGTGATATGTATATGTAGGGAGAGAGAGATGATGTTTAGGAGATAGAAATATAAATGGGGCTTCTACATGCATACCACACATCTGTATTTATATATCTAACTCCTAAACTTTCATAGTTATGTGAATAGCACTCGAATCTTTAATATCACATCAAAAATATTACTTTTACTTTTTCTTAAAAAGTGAAATGCGTACTTTCGAACATATATTATTTACACCAAAATATTTTTAATATAAAATTAAAAATTTGAGCCTTACATATGTATATAGATAATAATTGTGTTTGAGTGCAGCTGTTAGTTTAGATCCATGTTGGTAAGATTAGAATTTTCTTACTTTTAAAAGTTAATGGAGAAAAGTATACATTATAATTTATACGTCGTCAACAAATTTTCATCATCTAGTATGAATCTCGAGGTAAAACATGGGATTCAGAATGATCTTCTGAGCGAGAAGATTTAAGACTTTAATTAAAAATCATCCGAAGTTCTGATTTTAACAAACTTACAGCTAAAATGACCAGTTGGACAAAACGAACCCAATGATGCCAAAATTGGTCCAATCAAAACCGAGCATCGACCAATCCATTAAACTATTTTTGTAAGTTTTCCAAACATAATTGGAAGGTCAAATGGATGTCAAAATCTGGTGAGCTTGTAATCGAATTAAGCGTCTCGATAAGACAAATCCAATGAGCCCAAGATAGTTTAATTCTGACATAACTAAGACATTCAAATAACCATTAAACGTCATAGGATCAATGGAATCTCTACAGGATATCAGATCAAAGTAGTTTAAATTTCTTCATTAATTGCAACTGACAATTTATAAATAGAGCCCTACCACTCTCTTGGGAGGGGATATAGAGCTTGAAACCTAAAGAAGACAAACTATGAGACGGAGCTTTCGTCTAGCATCCCTTCTAGACCGATGATCCGCCACCCTCCGGCCAACTCCAGCTATCGTCACAACTCTGGCCACTGTCACCTCCGACCAACGCTGGCCACTATTGCCTCCGAATTTAGCTTAAATCTCGTACCAAACAGCCCCTACACATCAAATAAATTTAGCTGGATTTAACTTTAATTGAACCAGACATCATTTCATTTTTACTAATATTCAGATTTAATAAATCTATATTTACCTAATTTAGTAAATTATATTTAACTTAAATCCTACTTGCAGCCAAACACACCGCTAACCTCATCCACAATAAGGATATTAATGGAAAAAAGCATACACCAAGGTACATCCTCATGTATATGTCCAGTAAGAGAATCCTTAACTAAAGCAAGAGAACAGCTAGCCATACCTATGATCATCGGAGCGATGGAGTAGCCGGAGCTGTGGTCGACAGGGCGTTAGAGAAGGGAAGATTAGGGTATGAGGGAGAAACCGAGATCAAGAGGGAGAGGATTAGAGCAAGTCCGGGAGTGTTGCGCTTTGGCGGTATAAAGGATTATTTCCAACAACATAGAAACAGTTTAAAATTCATCGGTTATTAACAATAATACAGATGGCATTTGCCGCCGCTTGTTAAAAAACTTCATCGGTTAACACTCCACAAAATGGTGATTTCGTAAATAACTGACGATATAGGACAGTCAGTTATTATTTGCTTATAATTGATGGTATAACACTTCAGTAATAATAAAAATCATTAGAAAAAAATTTACTATTGATAAGCGACAATATATCATGTTATTATGTCGTTATAAATAACTCATCACATAAAATGTTGCAAAACCATCCGAAAATAGAACATTTTTTTTAGGTAAGTTTAGACCATCGGTTTTAGTATTTTCCTTGTAGTAGATCAGATAAGTGGGCCTATTGGCCTTGACGAGCCCTCATTTGTCATATTTTCTCCGTTAGAATTCCTTGTGATCAACAGTCACTTTTAAATATACATTATCACATCAAAATATTTTTTATTTTATTTTTAAAAGCGAAATTCATCTTATGTATAAAAAAAAGTTATATGTATATATAGAGAGAGAGAGAGAGATGATATTTAGGAGATAGAAATATAAAGGGGGCATCTACATGCATACCACACATCTGTATTTATATATCTAACGCCTAAACTTTCATAGTTATGTGAATATCACTCGAATCTTTAATATCACATCAAAAATATTACTTTTACTTTTTCTTAAAAAGTGAAATGCATACTTTCAAACATATATTATTTACACCAAAATATTTTTAATATAAAATTAAAAATTTGTGCTTTACATATGTATATAGATAATAATTGTGTGTTTGAGTGCAGCTGTTAGTTTAGATCCATGTTGATAAGATTAGAATTTTCTTACTTTAATTTTCTTACTTTTAAAAGTTAATGGAGAAAAGTATACATTATAATTTATACATCGTCAGCAAATTTTCATCATCTAGTATGAATCTCGAGGTAAAACATGGGATTCAGAATGATCTTCTGAGCGAGAAGATTTAAGACTTTAATTAAAAATCATCCGAAGTTCTGATTTTAACAAACTTACAGCTAAAATGACCAGTTGGACAAAACGAACCCAATGATGCCAAAATTGGTCCAATCAAAACCGAGCATCGACCAATCCATTAAACTATTTTTGTAAGTTTTCCAAACATAATTGGAAGGTCAAATGGATGTCAAAATCTGGTGAGCTTGTAATCGAATTAAGCGTCTCGATAAGACAAATCCAATGAGCCCAAGATAGTTTAATTCTGACATAACTAAGACATTCAAATAACCATTAAACGTCATAGGATCAATGGAATCTCTACAGGATATCAGATTAAAGTAGTTTAAATTTCTTTATTAATTGCAACTGAGAGTTTATAAATAGAGCCCTACCATTCTCTTGGGAGGGGATCTAGAGCTTGAAACCTAAAGAAGACAAACTATGAGAAGGAGCTTTCGTCTAGCATCCCTTCTAGACCGCTGATCCGCCACCCTCCGGGCCAACTCCAGCTATCGTCACAACTCTGGCCACTGTCACCTCCGACCAACGCTGGCCACTATTGCCTCCGAATTTAGCTTAAATCTCGTACCAAACAGCCCCTACACATCAAATAAATTTAGCTGGATTTAACTTTAATTGAACCAGACATCATTTCATTTTTACTAATATTCAGATTTAATAAATCTATATTTACCTAATTTAGTAAATTATATTTAACTTAAATCCTACTTGCAGCCAAACACACCGCTAACCTCATCCACAATAAGGATATTAATGGAAAAAAGCATACACCAAGGTACATCCTCATGTATATGTCCAGTAAGAGAATCCTTAACTAAAGCAAGAGAACAACTAGCCATACTTATGATCATCGGAGCGATGGAGTAGCCGGAGCTGCGGTCGACAGGGAGTTAGAGAAGGGAAGATTAGGGTATGAGGGAGAAACCGAGATCAAGAGGGAGAGGATTAGAGCAAGTCCGAGAGTGTTGCGCTTTGGCGGTATAAAGGAAAGTGCAAGAGTGAGAATGTATCTGTCAGCTCAAAGCAATAACTATGGGAATCTGTTATTAACAACATAATACAGATCCATGTACCAACAATGATGCAGAATATGAAGTCTTAATTACTGGGTTGGAATTGACAATCTCGATGGATATAACAGATATTTCCATCTATAACAACTCTCAGCTCGTCATCTAACAGGTTGCTGGACAATACAAGATTTTGAAACCAATGTTAGCGGAATATCATCAGTATACGGTGAAGCTGCTAGAACAGATTCCCAACAACATAGAAACATCTTAAAATTCATCGGTTATTAACAATAATACAGATGGCATTTGCCGCCGCTTGTTAAAAAACCTCACCGGTTAACACTCTGCAAAATGGTGATTTCGTAAATAACCGACGATATAGAACAGTCAGTTATTATTTGCTTATAATCGATGGTATAATACTTCAGTAATAATAAAAATCATTAGAAAAAAAAATTACTATTGATAAGTGACATTATATCATGTTATTATGCCGTTAGAAATAACTCATCACATAAACTGTCGCAAAACCATCAGAAAATAGAACATTTTTTTGAGGCAGGTTTAGACCATCGGTTTTAGTATTTTCCTTGTAGTAGGTTTATTATCAAATGGTGTTTTCACCTTTCAAAATGACATATGCTTTACATCATCATGCCCAATCCCAAAATAGAAAATTTTAGCTTTTGAGGGTCCACATT